TTGTTCTCTCCTCTAGTCATAGTTGTTATGGCTTCCATTACCAGACTCAGCTGGTTCTTCAACAATTCAAACTCTGCCCTGGTAACAAACTGATTCTGCTCTTCGGAGTCCATGATCCTTCCAGAAACTAACTCAAGTCCAATGCGAATGCCGGGAAGTCCACTGCGAGTTGGACAAAAGACGGGTAAGCTCTCTGATCCATCCGAGGATGCAAGCATGAGATGCACATGAAATGCAATGCAAAATGCAACAAACACAGGATCACAGCCCCCACAAAGATCTGAATACTGCTGCACTGCTAACGGGATAAGTTTGCTCTGACGAGAAAAAACCAAAATACCAGGTAGGCTGGAAGTCAAGTTTCCTGCAAAAAAAACCCCCCACTCACGGGTATGGACCTAAACTGACACAGGTTCGGCATCCTATGCGGTCATCAGCGTCACAGACTTTCAAGAACGATGATACGATACCCAGAATGTGTGGCATCATCATCTCTTGAAGCGGCCTCACTTAGCTGAATCCCAAATGATCGGTTCCCAGAGTCGAAAATCCTTAGGTCTGAAATCCTTTCGTGGAAACTAGTGCATGATTTCGTGGGAAATGGAAATCATCTCAAAGAATCTCGTCTGAGTGCAGATTTCGTGGGAACTAGTGCATGCCTAACATACAGGTTCACCACAAACTGCTCTAATACTATGTAGCTCTCGAGCCTAGGTCTGGCTTAACACTCATCAAAGCCCCTCCCACAACAGCAACAACAGATGATCAGTGCGGGAAATGTAAATACAACAGTAATATACAACATACAACGCACAAAAATAAACACCCGAAGACAAGCAAACAAGCGCTAGGATTGACTCTCGTCGGGACGTTGGATCCCTCAGATTGACTCGCATAGGGGATGTTGGATCCTCAGGAAACTATCGCAGTCCCCAGCAGAGTCGCCAGCTGGTGGGGATTGCCCAGGCAGCTAGGAAGAGAATCCAAGACAAGACTTGCTTAGAGAACGTGCATCCCCAGCAGAGTCGCCAGCTATCGCTGCTGCGAAAATCGAGGCCGGAAAAACAGAAGAGTCGCCACCTTTCGTTATTTATCCCTCAGAACGGGAAAGGAAACGATCGGGAAAAACCTGACGAAAAGGGTAAGGAATGGTCATCGTAACCATTGCCTGGGTTCGGGAGTCGGTTACGCAAGGGGAAGGTATTAGCACCCCTCACGTCCATCGTACTCGATGGGATCCACGCTTGCTGGGTTGTCTACGGGTGAAAAACAATCTATCTACGACTTCTATGTCTAAACGGAAAGAAACTGACTCGATAGAGCATCACACTCTATGCCTACGTATTCCCTTGTGCAATGGGAAAGTCAGAGTCATCGTAGTTCAGGAGACTACGGGGAAATTTGCTCGCCGAGATGTCGCATCTCGTGCCTACGTACTTTCATACGGCATGAAAGATCAGAGCTTGCGTAGTTCGGGCTAACTACGGCTAGACAGGGGGTTCTCGATCATACGGGGGTGTCGCGGTGAAATTTGGATACCAAACTATTGATTAGTTTGAATCTTTAATTCATTTTGCAACCGAACTTTGATTTGTCCAAAGGAAGGGATAAAGATCGAAATTCCCACAATGCAATGCAAGTGCAAGCTAGATTGTTTAGGTTCGGGGGTTGGTTAAACTTAGGGAAGGTACTAGCATCCTAAGTTTCTGTAGTACTCTACAGGAACCTCTTGTTTTATGTTTGTTTACTGCTAAGTGTTATCTGCTTAATGGTTAAAGACCCTAGTGGTTTATATCTAAGTATACTCGATAAGGCATCGCACCTTGTGCCTACATATCCTTACGGGAGTGGAATAAGAGTATGTTGTAGTTCACCCTAAAGGGTTAGAGGAGCTCTTTGACTGTGGTCAAAGTTCCTACGGGTTTAGGGTAGTTGTTTTGATTGGGTTTAGGAGAAGAGATGAGTCTTCATGTTAAGGGAGAGATAACCACCACAAATGTAAAAGAGAAAGGGTTGTAGGAAATGGTCTTTGCATCATCTTAAGAAAAGGTCTTACATACTCGGATGGTCGCCAAGCATGCCTTTGTTGCTCTTAAGGCAAAGTCCCTACATGTTTGATTGTATTGTTGTGGGGTGGAGATTATATCTCACTTAAGATGATTAACATCTATTCTCTAAATGTGTTTGAAAAGTTGTATTGTGTTGTTTATGTTTTGTCTAAGTTGTAAAAGATAAAGACAAGGTCCTTCCTATGGGGTAGGATCTATCCTAAGCGATCAACTTGAATGGGTTCAAGGATCGAGGGGAATATGATGCATATGATGTGCAACTACACACAACGTTGAATTATGTGTAGGTTTTTCCTTTGGACGGATGCGATGCATGGATATAAATTGGTAATGTAAATGAATTGCGATAGTGTAAATTACAGAAAGAGTAAATCATACAAGCACGCATGAAAGCGCTGATGTGTAGGTGCCAGTGTCGTGAAGTGATTGTGCACGATAGGATTATGTTTTACGCTGTTGATTGATTTAGGCGAAGTTGATTTCAAGCAGATTGATTTTAGGCGGATTGAATGGTTTGAATTAGACGAAGTTAACTGATTTTGAGAAAAGTTGATTTAGGAAAAGTTATATTATTAATTAGAGATAAATTGGTAAATGCAACTTATTTATAAAAAAGGATTTTATCATGGGGAAGTTGATTAAAAATATTAAGTTGATTTTAAAAAAGTTGAGTAAAATAAATCAATTTATTTAAAAGAGAAATTTGGTCTTATAAAACCATAAAAAGATTATTAAAATTGATTATAATGAAAATTAACTATTAGTAAAGATATAAATTAGTTATTATATTGATAACTCAAAAAAAACTATCAATAAAATCTGGTTGAGATTAAATAGGATTATTTTGGAAATAAGTTTTAATTGGTTTGGATAAAACTGATTAAAGGAGGTTAATTGAGATTTAAACGGGCCAATAAGGGTTAGGCGCATGTTAAGTGAGTGTTTAGTGTGTGGTGTATGTGTGATTAACGGATACAACAACAAGCAGAAAAAAATAAAGAAAGAAAGAACCCTAATCCACCCCCCCAATTCTCCCGATCCATGGCTTTCTCGTCTTCTCCCTCGTTCAATCCCCGCTTCAAATCTCCGTTCGATCTCCGTTCAAACCTTCATCATCTCGTTCTGTTTTTTGTACCTGAAACACAACACCAAACAATCAATAGATTCAATAGTTCTAACAAGGACGGGGGTTTTACCAAAGGTGAGCGGCGGCGAAGCTTGAGACGGCCGGAGGGTGATGTCCCTTGTGGCGATTAGGTGTTTGCGGCGGCGGTTTCAACGGTTAAAGAAGATAAGTCGTCTTTCAATCTTTTTTTTTTAGGTCACGACTTCGGCGTTTCTTTTCGGTAATGTTAGGGTTTTTTATTCTGGATCCCACTGTGAATCTCTCCCCTCGTTTTATATAGCCCCTTTTGAAGATCAATGCTTTGAAACCTGATTTAAAATGCTTTTAAAACTGATTGAACCTTCCTTTTTTGTCTGTGCGAAATTTGAAACCTTTCCTAACTGGGGTTTCAAATCTTCGATTGGGGTTCACACTGAGATTGGATTTGGTTGGATTTTTACGGAATATTCTCTCCAAGTACAATGCTAACCCGATTTTGTCTTTTAACAGGTGCGGATAACAGATGTGATGTTGGGCTGAGTGACGAATCAGAAGCCCAGAATGAGTTCTTGCTTGATGCGTGCGGGGATCTCACGAAGAGCAAAGTTGGTGGTGAAGAATAGCAATTCTGAATATCTCCCTTGTGAGTAAACTGAATGCAATATATGTGGTCTTATGAAACAAGGGTACTAGCGGCTACAATCACGCGAGCGAGGAAGAGCAAGGTTGTTGGTGTTTTGATGACCTTTGGATGGTAAGCTTCGGTCCTGATATCACTTTGTTGTTCATTCGATTCAAACAATGATGTCTGCGACCACTTTCTCTAATTTCTTTGAAGGCTTTCATTGTGCAATTGGTCTTGCAGGGAACACAGCTTGGCCTCACAATATCTTGAGTAAAATCATGATTCTGGAATAAAGTTGTTGATGCAGTAACTATGGCCCTGATGATTCTCTGCCAATTTCGGTACCTGATCCAATAACTGCGTTTGAAGTTTCTTTTCTTTTGCAGAGATGGCAACATTCCTGGAGCAAACAAACTTCATTACTTGAGTTAAACCTTAACTTACTTTAGCTTGCTAGCGAGGAATCCGCTAAGAGTATAGCCAGGAGGCCACTGATCCTTGGTAAGCTTGGGACCTGTTAACTGTTAAGCGAAGCTCGCTGTGAGAGTGATAACTGTTGCTTTGCTCTTGAACCTTTAGCTAATCCTGCTATATTCAATAACTCTCTTTTGTAATTCCAGGTATGAAACTTGAAGGAAGAACGTGATCGGTGAACGACGAGAAAGCCGGAGCTGTGAGGTTGGACTCCCATCGGATACTCCTACCGTGATTTGATCTGAAACTTATGTTGTGTCGGTGATATAGCCGTTTGCATCACAACATCTCTAGTGTGATAAAGAACAAAATTGCTGCTACCACTGAGAGCGACCATGTTTCATGAGACCCTGGATTTTGAGAAGTGGGAGATTTGGACTACTCCAAAACTGGTCATGTATGGATTGCTTGAAATCCTATACGGATCGCATCTGGTCTCTTAATCTTATGTATTTCAAGCCTCTCCCATGATTTAGAGGCTGAAAGCGTTATGGTTACTCCAAACAAGCAACAAGCGATGGTATTATCGGGAAGGCCACGACTGAGACTGCTGATTGAGAGCGGCATGTGGAAGAAATCAACGGCTGAAAAACTCCTCCTAGTAGTCTCCTATAAATTCACAGGTTTACTCATGCCCCTTTATTCATAATCCACCTTTATAATTTCAGATTGATTTACTGGTTTGTGAACTGAGCAGGCTTCTCTCTCTTCTATGTAGGGTGACGCCTTATTGTCCATTAAGCCCATTGGGATCAAGAATAGAACGTCTAGAGAGAGTTTCCTCCTTTGGCGGTGGCAGAGTTAGAGATAGTCTTCGCACGTGCTCTTCTACAGGCTTGACATGCGAGAAATGTTGACCACTTGATCCTTGGTAAGCAAATTCCCTAGCAGTTGCTCTGACAGGCTTTATTTGGCCATTACTAGCCAAATTTTGCTTTTGCACAGAAGAAAAACCCACATTATCATTTGAATGAAAATTCCCCCGTCCATTTTGTCGGTGAGCATTTCTGCTGTTAATCTCGTTGATCTTCTGCTGGGCTAATGGTTTCAGCTTCTCTAGTTCATTCAATCTCTTTTTCAATGACTGTTTCTTGGTTTGTGGAGATGATCTATACTCTCGGTGACGCGGTATTGTCTCAGATGCCAAACTAGAAAATCTCAAAAGCAGGACATATAGGTCAATGATGTTCTTCTCTGCGCGAAAGATGTCGGCCTGCCGAAGTATGTTACCAGCAACCCGATAATAAAACCGAAGAGCAATTCGATTATCAACATCAAGCTTCTGAGCACTCGCAACGATATTGATCATACCCGAATCAGCAGCAGTAGAAGAAGAAGACCTCATTTTTCTGTTGATTGAAATTCTCCAAATGCAGCGTATCACTGTGTTCTTGTTGTTATTAGAGAGAGAAGAAGAAACATTAATGGTGTTGTTGGTTGCTTGCAGGGTGTTAATCGTGATGCAGTTGAGGTCTTCTCTTTAGTCAGGCAAAAGCGAAAGGTTCAAACTCCAAGCAGCAAGGACTCTTTGGCGTTATCAGAAAATTGCATCTCCCGATCTAACTCCCATAGGTGGTGGAAGACCAATATCCCGGAGCTGCTTTCTAGTTCACGAGGCTGCATATCCTGTATTAGGAGCTTCTTGAATGATGGTTCTCTAAACATTCTCTTGCACAATGTAACTTGGTGTAAACCCATGATGTCATAATTTAAGAAAACAGCTTGGCGTGATAATGATTGGAAGCACTTTCTTTTGTATACGTAAATGGATTTGGGATCATTTAGTTAAGTAGAGAATTGTAATAAACATTGGCTCACGGTTCCATGACAACGAACAAGTTATGTACCACACTCAATTAACACTTCTTGATCTTAAAACATCTTCTTCTAAATGATTTTACATCACCGCTTCGAGTTTTTGTATTGTTAAACCTTGAACACGTAAATTTATTCAAGCATGATATCTTAAGTTGGCGATTAATATTCCATAAAAGGTGCGTCATGGGCCTCGTAGTATAGGGGCCTTCAAACTGGGCGTTGTACCGTCAATAATGTTTCTAGTTCTTTAACAAAACCGCAAGGACAATCAGCCGGTGGGCCAAGGCGTGATGTTTTGTACAACTTGGATATGTCCTTAAGAGTGGATTAATGGGCGGAAAGCTCAAAGTGAATCTTGAGTCTGAGGTCCAATTTGAACTTCGTGAGACTATAACTCGAGTTGCAAACTTTCGAATCTGAATCACCACTTGCATCACACGATAACCTGACCTTGACCAATCTCAAATGTTGCTTGTGAACCCTAAGTTAAAACTCACTCCTTAATCTCTTCGCACCTTAATCACTGTGATTCGTGGCTTGTCCATGGGATGCTTGATCATAAGAGTTTACATGAAAATATTGCACCTGCACAAATTGATTAGCGGTAGAAAGCGCGTAAAAGTATAGAGACAAAGATATATATATAAAAAAAGAGATGGCATCTTATGGTCAAAAATTAGGGTGCAACAGATGCCCCTATTTAAGTTACTCCTATTCGGAGATAGGGAGATTGAAATCTTCGTCTCGACGAGATAGGAGGGACTTAAATACAAACATTGCGCGAATTTTTGGCCATAAGAAACCACCGAATGCATATGATATGCAATGATATGAAAATGCAGGACGGACAAATCTGTGAGAAAGAGGTCATGAACTGGACGCGACATGCTAGACAGAAAAGCAACAGATTCAACAAGGCGGGACCCTACGAGGACATGAACAATCACTCATGGGAAATCTCCAAACGTGTAACGGTAACTCATGCATCAGGGATGCGGTGGTTTTGACGATTTGTGATCGAAAGATACTTTGACTACCAAGGTGGTGGTCAATAGTAACTCAAAATGGATCCTCTTTTTTTTTTATTTTATTTTATATTTTGTAACTCAGCTGAAATGGTAAAATGTATAACCTCTCCTGGCATCATGGTACGGGGACCATGAGCTAGTCTCGGCCTTCGATGTCATTGTAGTTGTAGATGTTGTTGTAGTTGTTGAGCTTCCCCGAGCATCATGATATGGGAGTCATGCGCTGGTCTCAGTCTCTGATGTCAAACTTCCCCTTGCTCCATGGTATGGGAACCATGAGCTGGTCTCGGTTTATAATGTCAAACTTCCCCTTGCTCCATGGTATGGGAACCATGAGCTGGTCTCGGTTCCTACCCAAAATGATGGAAACTCGTGAGAGCGTCTTCAAAGAGGGGTTGTAAATTTGTAGATTGTAGATGTAACTGTAGTTGTTGAGCTTCCCCGAGCATCATGATATGGGAGTCATGCGCCGGTCTCGGTCTCTGATGTCAAACTTCCCCTTGCTCCTTGGTATGGGAACCATGAGCTGGTCTCGGTTTCTGATGTCGAACTTCCCCTTGCTCCATGGTATGGGAACCATGAGCTGGTCTCGGTTCCTACCCAAAATGATGGAAACTCGCGAGAGCATCTTCATAGAGGGTTTGTAAATTTGTAGATTGTAGATTGCGTGTTGTAAATTGTAATGTTGATGTAGAGTGTATGTTGTGAATTGCAGCACTGTAGAATTGTTGATGTAAATGTTGTAGATGTAATCTGTAATTGTAGAATTTTGTAGACGTGATCTTGTATTTGTAATTGTAGATGCAATTTGTATTGTATTGGCAATTTGTGGAATGTGCACCGGGGATCTTCAAAAGAGTTGTAAACCGGTTGATACGTGGAGTGTCCTCTTGTAAGGAGATATGTCATTGATTGTACTCATAATGAACTCACTGGGGAAGATCATTTCTGAGGAATATCTTTGCTGTAATTGTAGGAATATGTAAGATTGTTGTAGCAGAAGTCTTCAAATGGGGAAGTATTTGTAATGTCCTCTGTTTTGACTTGATAATCTTGAGATAACCCACTGGGGGAAGGACAGATTGTCTCGAGAAAATTGTTGTTTGTCGTTTTGAGAATAGATCTGCCCAAAACGAGTTGCTCAAATAAAGAGACTTTCTGTCATTCAGCTGTAAGTTGTCGAGTGGATCTTGTAATGTTGTTGAAGAAACGGTGTGTCTTCAAATGGTGATCCTCATAATGTCAAAGTGCAAAATAAATGCGCTCTTGATCCATGCTTAAAAGCTGGAGATGTTCATAGCGTGATCGCCACAGACCGAAATTCAATTCGGGAAATAACCGAAGAGAAACTGTCAAGTAAGACTCAACCATAGAGGCATGAACTCCAATGGGAATGTACTGAAACGACTGTCTTCCACGAGGATCGAACTTCGTGGGGAATGGAAATATTGAGTTTTTTCTGCTTAGGACTGACAACTCTATTTGGAAGGAGTAAGTCACGCCCAAATACCCAAGGGTAAACGCAATCGAAGAGATAGAGTAAAACAAGCAAAGGATGCACAAATGCAAATGTTATGCTATCTACTTATATGGTATGTGTATGCTTATGCTGACAAGACAGACGAAAGCAATGATCGAATACGGGATAAACGTCTCGAAACAAACATCCGACCAATCTTCAAAGGTAGAAGTATCACTGAGGATAAATGAAGAACTAAGTATAGGATCCCATTCCTGCTTCAAAAACTTCAAGATTTCTCTTGGGAAAAAGTGATCAATCCAATTGGGGATGTAATATCTTGATAAGCTTGACGTGTTGTATGAAATTGTAGACGGAGGTACCCAAACCAAAGTTTCATAGGGGATAAAATAAATATCCTAGGTCTTCGTAGTTGTTGAACATGTTGGGGTCAAGCTTCCTGAGGATGAAATATACATCTTGCTCCAGTCTTCAAATGCCCCAAGTCACATAGTTTAAAAACAACATCTAGAGAGGATTTTACAGAAAACATGATGCCCTCATGCCTCACTGTTTTCAAACTCTCTAGAGATTCACCGAATCTCGACGTAACTGCCCCTGATTAGTGATAAGTGAGTCCTTGAATTTCTTCTAGTTGAACCCAAGACTTGTGCGGATGAAAATTCTTTGGGGAGAATGACTTGCCCCAAGTCAGCAAGGCCTTCAAATATCATCGTCAATGTCTGTATGTCGTCTTTCTAAGATGTCAAACGTATTTAGCACATTTGAAATATCCATTCTGAAATGGTTAATGCAACACGCGTTTGTCTTGAAGTTTTGAAAAGGGGTATCGCAATAACTTGTGATCGAAACCACTAGTTAGGATACAAATTGAATCGTTATTTATAAAGCCGATTTAAATTTGAGCATAGCTCAAGGAGTCAGGAAACTATATCTCATCGAGTATGCTTTTGAATTAAACCTTACTTCAATCAAGACTTTGAGGGTTGTGTATTAATTTATGACTGATAAAATGGTTTGTAGAATGGGGGGGTAGAAAGGGTTAGTATATTTGTTCCCACCCAATTTTTTTTGAAAGATGTTCATCATTTTTGATATTACCCTGCCCCAAGTTAAGAAAATGATGTTTCGGTCTGGGAGAAAGAGAACGGATCCTCAATCAAGGTTTAAAAGAAAGGGTTGACTATGTTGGCGTTTAGGAGTTTTTAAAGTAATGCCTTACATCATCAGTAGGGTCTTTATTCGAAGCATACAACAAGAGATCATGTGTTTTACTTCATCATCCTCCTTCCAATTCTCTGTCAAAGCGAGAGATCGGGTAAAAGTCGGCATTATAAATAATTTTGAAAAACTATTTGAGTGAAAACGAATGGATTTCTTCAAGACGAACAGTTATTGCATTACTTATTCAAAACAGCAAGTTCTTACATGCAAAATATGCTTTCAATCAAAGAAATAAACACACAAACAAACGAAAGAAGATATAAAGTTCTTCTGAGAGTCCTTTCCAGGATCTTTATTGTGCTTTTATGTAGACGGGAAAGACATGCAGAAACGTCTGGTGCGCAGCCTTCAGTCACGGCGTTGGCGACCTTGAATCATGCCTGGGGAGGATGAACCTTGTCGAGATAGGGGGTTATCTCGTACGTAAGGGACGGAACCCTCAAAGAACAAGACTCTATCTTTGACCAAATTTTGGACGTCTGCTTTCATGTCGTAACAGCTCTCGATGTCGTGCCCGGGAGCACCTTGATGATACAGGCAGAATTTGCTGGCATTGTACCAGTATGGAAATCTCTTAGGTACCTTGGGTGGGGCTTTAGTCTGGATATGCCCTCTTTGAATTAGTGCTGGAAACAAATCAGCGTACTTCACCGGGATGGGATCAAACTGATGAATTACTTCCCTTGGTGTATCTGGAGTCATCCTTTGATACCTTTTCCGAAATTGTCGGTGCTGTGGTTGATCTGGAGAGGCCAACCTCTGCCTAGGATGTGGTTGTTGTTCACGCTGAGCGGG